GATTTTTCTTTTATGCAAAAAATCATTAGGATATTAGGTAAAGATCATGTTCCATAGGATATTTTGTAAATTTCCTACTGTAAATATATAAAAAATATATATTTTAATTAGTAATATGCATTGCTAAGAACTTCATTTAGACAACTTTAAAGGCGATTTTCTCAATATTTAGATTTTTTTGCACCCTCAGATTCCAGATTTTCAAATAGTTGTATCTCAGCCAAATAGTGTCCTATCCTAAGCTTTCAGATGATGTATAAATCTCAATTTTGAAAAATTGACCCTTCTGACTGGTTTTGTGGTCCAGGGTCACACACACACACACACACACACACACACACATACACATATATATATAAATTCACTATATTTAAAAGGTGGGTGACAAACACATACAACCAAGCATATATTCTTTTATGAATGTCTTCATACAAATGTATATTCTTGCACAAAATTTTTTAAAGGAGCTGAAGATCACTGTTTAATCACAATTAGTTATTTTTCCATAGGTTAAATAAAGCAAAAATATTGAATTGATCTCCGGCCTTTCCCTGAACAACTAATAAGAGATCTTTATTACTGTGCATAAATAAAGTATTCCAAACATTATGTTTGAGATGTGTCACTGCCTGTTGCTCTAACATGTTGAATCTTGTATCACTGTCATTATCATGCAAATTCTGGAATGACAGAAAATTAACTCTTAAAAGACATACAAAATATTAGTTCTCTTTCGAACGGTCTCTCCCGTTGCATAACTCTGAGGCTCAGAAGACGTCGCAAGCGCTGCATCACTTCCTACCCAAGTACTCCGCTTCCGTGACTGCTAGTCCTGCAGGTGCAGCGCGTACCCGAATGTTTTACCGCTGTGATAGTGGACCCACATACTCAAAAGAGCAAATTTCCTCTTCACACTCTCTCACTCACGAATTCAGGCTCCCCGCCCTCCCGCAGCAAGCCTTTATTCGAAAAAAATAGATCCTCTCGCATTCCGGCTATCGGCCTGGGCAGCCATAACGGACGTGTCGAGTTGGGTTCTAAACACAATACAACAAGGCTACTCGCTTCAGTTCTCTTGCAGGCCGCCTCACTTCAGAGGAAGTTTTTAAACTTCTGTTTCGGACAACAAAGCTCACGTTCTCCGACAGGAAGTGCAGACACTGCTTGCAAAACGTGCGGTGGAGATAGTACACCTCAGCGAACAG